CATACTCTGAACTTGGAAGGTCAGTCAGTGCTGCTCTTGTGCAAATGAATCCTGCACACAGATGCTCTGTGCTAATGACTTCGGTGCAATGCTAATACAGTAGTGATAACGTACCTAATAAAACGTTGGTTTTTTGGCTCATTGTGACAATAGCTATGCGAATAGTAAAATACTATATATATATATATATATATAATGTGTGTGTGTGTGTGTGTGTGTGTGTGTGTGTGTGCGCGCGCGCGTGTGTGCGCGTGTCGGATTTTATCAGTATTCTATAGGTAATGATTGTTTTTAGTGCTGTAATACAAACCGATGCTTACCAAATGGATTCTTGGCAAGGGTTGGCTCAGCGGTCTGAGTGGGTTCAGACTCGCCAATGCTGTTCTCTGCCACCACGCGGAAGTGGTATTTATGTCCGGCTGTTAGCTTTGTCACCTAACGCATAACAAACCATATTACGTCCATGACGTATATGAAAGGCAGAAACAGACTTGTTGATTAGAGATAATCTTATCTTAGCAGAAAACATTATAGATAAATTATATATTCAGGGCACTTTACAGGAAGCGTTAGTGTTTATTTACGCACCTTTATAGTTGTCTCAGATTTCTTCCCAACTTCTTGCCAATGTCCTGTCTCCACGTCGCACCTTTCAATGATGTACTGCGTTATTGCAGACCCACCATCCTCTTTTGGTTTAATCCATTTCAGTGTGCAAGACTCCTTTGTGACATCGGCAACTTGTAAGTTTTCGGGAGAACCCGGCTTATCTGCAGCGTTAAAAATTTATAGATGAAAATGGCCATTCGCATGTTTCGCCAACTTGCACTGAGTGTAGGTACTGTAATAATTTACACGGCGATGACTGTCATATTGACGACCATAAATATCACTTATTATTATATATTATATATATATATAATATATAAATATTTAATAAATGTGTGAAATTAAGATGACAGCTTACATGCCTTACGTCGATAGTGTCGTACGTTACAGTCACTACTACGATATTATTAGTGTATTATGATAACCCTCGATAACAAATAAAGTCACCAACGTTCTGAAGTCAATCAATATACATATTTCCATTGTAGAATCCTGAAGGCAAACACCAAGATCCGTCTAAAAGAGATGTACACAGAATAGGCGAAACAGAAACGGTCCTATACCTAAGACCTCGACGTTAATTGTGACGCTGTCTTTCCCTGATGCGTTCTTCACTGTCAGTGTGTAGGCGCCGCCATCTTGCCTGCGCGAGGACGCGATCGTGACCTTTGAGGTCGACTCTGCAGACGAAACATATTGTTATACCATGACCGAAAGTTGGCGTTGCGTTTAAAAAAATGAAGCATGATGTGAAATCAAAAACGAGGTTTTTCTTAAATTTGTGCACTTTACTGATTAATGAAGTTATAATTATTACGTTTCTCATTCTTTCCCACTCATCTCATTCTCTCTCTCTCTCTCTCTCTCTCTCTGTGTTCTTTTCTCTCTCTCCCTTCCTGTCTATCATCGCTTCTCTCTCCCTCTCACTCTCTCCCCGCCTTTATCTATCCCCTCTCTCGTGCGCGCACTCTCTGTCCCTCTCTTGCTCACTCTCTCTCGTTCTCGCTACTGTCTATCTGCATGTACCCGTGTTTTCCATCTCAACGACATCGCTACTCTTCAGTGGCTTCCCGGCGAACGTCCAGTCCGGTGTCGGTGCTGGCTCGCCGGTGAAACGAAGGTTAAACGCGATTGGCTGACCAGCCTTGACCTTGAGGTCGCGTACACTGGCCTTATCAATCTTAGGTGGCACTGCAGATAATATATATAACACAAGCATTTAAATTTCCCTGCGTGATTCGCTGTGTTTACGGTACGAGATAGATCTATATAGTTGTGATGCTACGGGATGGCCCGAATTTAGACATGGTGATGCCCTAAGCTATGAGAAGCTGTAGACCCTATTTGGCAATTGTTAATAGAGAATAAGACTGTGTAACAGCTAAACTTGGCAAGATGGCCGCAACGATGTATAACAAATTCGTGCAGGGTAGGGGGAAGAGTTGCTCCTGTAGAACTTTAAAAATATGCTTTATATTACACAATAGGAGATTTTGAAAGGCCCTTTTCAGACTGTGAGGCCCTAAGCTGTAGGGTGTTTAACCTATGCCTAAATCCGGCCCTGGGGTGGTCATACGGATACGATCACTCACAGACTGTAACTAAGACTGATCTGTGAAGAATAGAAGCGATCCGTGATCGTGAGATCATGAGATCGATAATGGTAATGTCCATCATCATGGATTGACGTGAGGCAATCTGCGCGATTCGTTGGCGCAGAATATGCGCGTCAGGAATTATCGATGAATAATTACGAATTTGAATTGGATTTAGAATTAGAATTAGAAGAAGGATTTAATTGAGCAGAGATCGGGAATTGAATTTAGAAGTAGCACCAGATCGTGGAATCAGAATTTGGAATTGAATGCAGAATTCGCTGCTTACCATTTTTGGCCTTCGAGAGTACAGGCGCCGATGGAGGGCTAGGCTTGCTGGCGCCTTCCTCGTTCACTGCGCGAATACGGAATTCGTATTCCACCTTTTCCATCAAATCCTTTACAGTACACTGTAGATAAAATCGGAGGTTAACCTGTATTTTTACAAAACCTACAAGTAATCTAACACTTACAGTTGCACAGTAAATTAATTTGGATATTTTAACATTATTTTTCAATTCAATATTTGTTTCTCATCGAACGGTGTCCTGTTATGTTTTCGGTGTATTTTGCTAATTCGTCTACCTTCAGTGTATCAGCAGGCACTCTCTTGGATTCAACCCAGTTGGAGCTGTATTTGTCCTTCTGTTCAATGATATATTGCTCAATAGGGGCGCCACCATCACTGTCCGGTGGTGTCCAGCTTAGGTCCACGAAGTTTATATCGAAATCAACAATAGTGGGTGCCGCTGGAGCATCGGGGACGTCTAGAAAAAAGACAAATATTTATATATAATAACATACATAAATTCATGTATAGTTTCGCTTATTGCTACGGCAGACAGAAAGTGAGTGGCTTTTCAATTTTGAGGCATTCAGATATTAGTACATACATTTCCTATTAGGAATCTACAGCTCTAACTCAATGATACCTATATTTGAATTTGCAACATATCCTTAATGCCCCTCTTAGATTACTGCTGCAATGCATGTTGCGATAATACCATTATCTACCACAGTCCGACGTTACTCATGACAGAATGTTGTCACCGTCTCACCGAATGGGTTCTTAGCAACCATCTCCTTGGTAATGACCCAGTCGGATTCTCCCTGCCTGTTGACGGCTCTCACTCGGAACTTGTACTCTTTCTTGTTAGCGAGTCTCGTTACCTGCACAAGACAAGGCAAGCAACAATGTCTTTAGCTTAATTCACAAACATGGCAAATACGTACGACGCAACACCTAACTTGTGTCTATTCCTAGCACTTCAGTGGCGAGGAGTGCTTAGTCTTACTTTGCCTTTAGATACTCGTAAAATATGCATTATAAGCCCCGGCAAGCACATTACGCAAGACTACTAAAACAATAATATGATATCTACCAATGCATTTATGAATGTATTAACATAATTATACAAACATACAAGTGACGGTTGCCACGGTAAACAATATCAGCATTTTGTTTATATTTCGAAATAAAAAGAAAGAACAAAAATTATTCTTCTGCATGCGAATTCCCAATGCCTGACCTTGACGGACGTTTCCTGTGGCTCCTCTACACCCTTCCAGGTGCCTTCGCGCAAGTCCTTCTTCTCGACGATGTAGTGCGTGATATTAGAACCACCGTTGTCTGTCGGTTCGTCCCACGACAGCTCACAGCTGTTCTTCGTAATGTCATTCACCTGTAGCGACTCGGGTGGCCCTGGTTTGGCTGCAGTGGCGTGACACGAGCGTACGGTAAGCACAAGGTTCGATAAGTACAAGGTTAGATTTTCTGTGCATATCAACAATCTTATTACGGTATTGTTTGTGTAAATTGCTATTTGATTCATTGAACTTTATATTAATAGGGAGGACATGACACCGGCTTCTTTATGTTAATATATATATATATATATATTTATATATATATATATATATATATATATGTTTGTGTGTGCGTGCGTGCGTGCGTGCGCGCGCGCGCGCGCGTGGTGTGTGTGTGCGTTTGTGTATGTGTGTGTGTGTGTGTGTGTGTGTGTGTGTGTGTGTGTGTGTGTGCGCGCGTGTGTGTGTGTGTACATGATAGTGTCGTCGAGATCCGAGTAAGATAGTATAGTATATACATTTAGCGGCATCTAATAACGCAAATGTTGCTGCAGGTAGCTTACTTAGCATGGTAACTGCAACAGTGTGCGAGTCACTGCCTGCTTCGTTCTTCACTTCCAATGTGTATTCTCCTCTGTCCTCTTGTTCTGTATTCTTAACTGTCAATTTTGCTAACTTCTCTGTCGTCTCTATCTTGAACCTGTGGTGAAAACATTTAGGTAAACATATGAATTAGTGGGTGGGGGGCGTGCTCAGGTTGCTTTCGAAACCAAAAATCCATTCTCGTCACCCATGGTTGTGATCGCACAACAGTTTTAATAGAGTATTCGATATGATGTCGAGATAACACGTTAGTAGAATATTCCACTCGTCGCTAACGTTTTGCACGCGTCCAGACTTTCTAGTTACCAACTTGTAACACTAGCTGTCAAGCCAACTAATGATTTATTTATTATGACGGTAGCTATTTTGATGAAACGCTATTGCGTATGTTTGCGCAGCGTAATGTATAGGACACGCACAATCCTAACGATGCAACGCGTTCGCGCACATACACGCATACGCGCATGTGTGCAGTTACGAATGCGCGCACGTACGAAGCGCCTCTGCACGAGTATGGATAAATATGACGGGTGACCCATATTATTTAGTCCAGTGAGAGCGTTACGTGACTGTGTAGTGACACTGCTGTGCGAAACCTTGGCTTTTATAGCCACGGAAACCCTTGTTAGCTACTTTGCCTGGTACGCAGTATTGTTATTACAATAATCCGTAAGCTCGCCGGTCGACTCAATAAAAGCTAAGACTGCATCCAACACGACGCGGAAAATGTGAAACAAGCACTTGAACATTTTGCAGGGAAACTAATTAATATATATATATATATATATAGTAGTATATTTTTGATACAGGATTACTTAGTCCGATTATACTGATTCCAGACCCTTCCAACTGTCAATTAAAAATTATCTTAATTAACGACGCAATCATTCTGTAAGGAATGTAATGCCGTTTGCACATACCTGCCCTTTGACTTGACAACCTTGTCACCCACTTTCCAGGTAGCAGTCGGGGCTGGTACACCACTGATGGGCACTTCGAATGATAATGTTTGTGTTGTTTTCATCTTAATATCTTGCATGAATTCTTTCTTAATCTTGGGCGCAACTGCAGAAAAAATATATCAAAGTTAGACAAGTTTCCAGCAATTTTTTTTTCGACGTAAAGTTATTTTCTAAACACTTCTCCGCGATTTCCGTAAGTAAAACTAACAATTGACCTAGACATATGCAAGGTGGGTGCATGGATAGAAAAAAAATACATCGTTTTGTACTTGTTACTAAAACGCGATCACTCAGCCAAGATTTTGTGTGTTAAAGAGATGAGTACAATCGGTTACAAACGTATAGGCAAAATAGGAACTCATCGTGCGCTTGGTACATTAAACACATGTATTTATGCGACTAAAATGCAGCCTTACCGATTACGGCGAGTCGTGCAGCAGACGTCACTTTGTTACATTTGATGTTGTACTGACTGACATCGGTGACCTCTGGATTCTTGATGCGCAAAATGTATCTGCCATCTTTAGTTTCAATCGTGAACTTGTCGTCCGAGCGTAGTTCGTGAGTGTCTCTGTACCACTTAACCCTACGAGAAAACGCACGTAATATATTTATCAAATGCTAAGTTGCAGCGTTACCGTACTTCGTGCTTGTACATTAAGATTACGGTACTTGCGTTCGGCGCATTTTGACGGATTGATGCATGAAGATATTTGCTTTAAGAGCGATCAGTGGGGAAGGTGCTGCCACTGAGGTTAATGTCTTCATAATTTTTATGTTTGATCCCGCCAGAATAATACCGCAGCTGGTTAGTTGGCATGTAAAATTCACAACGGCGTACATACTGCAAGTCGCATCGTTGCATGTAATATAATCCATATTGTTGCATGTAAGATAAGCCGCATCATTGTATGTAATGTAAGACAGATCGTTGCATGTAATATAATCTACATCGTTGCATGTAAGATAAGCCGCATCATTGTATGTAATGTAAGACAGATCGTTGCATGTAATATAATCCATATTGTTGCATGTAAGATAAGCCGCATCATTGTATGTAATGTAAGGCAGTTACATGCAACGATCTGTCTTACATTACATACAATGATGCGGCTTATCTTACATGCAACAATATGGATTATATTACATGCAACGATCTGTCTTACATTACATACAATGATGCGGCTTATCTTACATGCAACAATATGGATTATATTACATGCAACGATCTGTCTTACATTACATACAATGATGCGACTTATCTTACATACAACGATGCGACTTATCTTACATGCAACAATGTGGATTATAAATGTTGCATGTAATATGATCCACATCGTTGTATGTAAGATAAGTCGCATCGTTGTATGTAATGTAAGACAGATCGTTGCATGTAAGATAATCCATATTGTTGCATGTAAGATAAGTCGCATCATTGTATGTAATGTAAGACAGAATCGTTGCATGTAAGATAATCCATATTGTTG